AAATTTGGCAATTTTTTTTTATTTTTTTTTTTTTTTATATTGCCAATGTAGAAACTTAATTTTTATTTAAAGGCTTCTTTCTAATGTATATACAGTTTCTAATTACATTTGTGCTACTATTACTAGTTACCCAATGTGGTATTATACTCCTTAATTTCTCTATATTACTTTTCGATTAACTATTTCAAGCCAACTTCAAGCTAGGGTTGGTTAGAGCAACCTACCATTACATGTCCCACTCATGTAATTATTTTTTCGTAATTTTCCTTCCAATTAGTATATATTGATTGCTGCCATTGTGTTTGTATCTCATGCCACCTTTTGGGGTGCGGCCGTAATACAATCCATATCTCAATTTCAACCTTTCTAATTAGTCCTCAATTACGTACTATATTACAAAATTTTCTATTGTTATCTATTTTCGTACTTATTACACTCACCTATCTACTTCCTGCAGCAACCTTATAATTCTCCCAAATTGGTTCATTCTGGCGGTTTTTTGCTCTTCTTGCTCCCATATTGGTGTACATAGCCCTTCATGTATTGGTACCGTACAGCACAGCTAGATTTATTGAATCTCCAGTTGTTATCTGCAGTGTACCACCTACTTTATACAATGCTTCCATAATTGGTATGATTGACTTGTAGCATGAGCACCGAAGCTTCCCATTATAACTATGTTATATGGGTGTACTACTGACAATCAGTTTACTTCTAGCTTGGTGATGCAAGAGCACCTGGAACCTTGACTTATAGAGCATCAGTATGGCACCTATTATCAACATTGTGATATGCAGTGTTTTCCTTATTAGTTTTCCAATTTCCAATCTTGTATGCCAGAGATGTTTCTTTATTTGGTAAAGCCATCCTCTTACCACAGCCCCTTACTGTATTCACTGCTTCTCTCACCACTTCCAGATATGCTACATTTAGCTGTCCTCCCAATCAAGATCTCCAAGACCGCCTTAGGGTTGTTAGTATTACCTAGCCAATCGAGAATTTACATGCACAGCCTTATGCAGTATTACTTTCTGTGACACCATATCACATGTAGTGCCCAGTTTTCTCTACGGCTCGGGACTCCTTCCAAGAATTCTTTATAGGCCAAATATGTACTTCACATAGTCTTATCGTCACAGGGTTTCGCATTCGAAAGCTTCCTTAGATTACAGAGATAATTAATTAAATTAATTACTACCAGCTATAATCGAACCGTTAACCTCGTCTGTAGAGGGTTAGGCGCCTAGACCACTAGGCTATGGGATCCTAACTCTTAATAGTTAATATTAATTTATTTTATATATACAAAATTATTATAATATATATATATAATTTAATTTTTATTTATTAATTTTTTAGATTGGATTGCATTTTATTCAATTTCCTGGATACATGGTTCATTGAATTATATATATTCTTTTATTAGTAATGATATTTGGTGTAAAGCTCCAGATAATACGAATGTTGCTGAAGCATGTCATTCAAATGTAAATCGGGATGGTAAATTTTTATCACTTGAAAATGCAATCTTAATGTAAGTAAATTAATTTTTTATATTTTATTATTACTAATTAAAATTGTTACTTTAATTAGAGCTAAACGATATGATAATCGAAATTTTATTACATGTAATATTCAAAAAAAATATGGAGTTCGAAAAACTGGAAAAAATCTTGGAGTAGTAGCACGTGAAAAACAAGCTATTCACAGATCAAGTAAATTTTATTTTTTATTAATATATGTATTAATAATAATTTAATACTAAATATTATATTAAATATTATTTATTTTTTTTGTAGCAAAAAAAAGAGCTAATTCTGTTAGTAAAGCGGAATCATCTACTAAATCAAGAAGAGCAAAAAAAATTAAAAATATTGAAAGTTCTCAAGATTTAACAGATGCATTAGCTGAATTTGATTTAGAAAAAGAAGAGAAGGTTCTTTTTTTAAAAGAAAAAAAATTAGAATTAGAAGAACAGGAGTTAAAGCTTGAAAAAGAAAAATTAGAAATTCTTAAACTTAAACGGGAATTAGGCCTTTAAGTATAGCACTTGTAAACATATAGCTAATTAATAAAATTGCAAAATTGAATATCATAAAATAAAAATCTTAAATGCTTATTATTAAATAAAAAATTCTTTGCAATATAAATATAATAATACCAAATAAATATATAATATTGTATAAATAATAAATTATAGCTATATAATTAAAATTATTTATAATTTAATAAAATAAATTTGTTAACTAATTTTACAGCGTCTTTATACTCTGCTTTAATAACTGCTACAACTATTCGTTTAGAATAATATCATGTTAACTTTGAATCTATATTCACATATGCACTGCCAAAAATGGCCTAACTTAATGATTCAAAAGATTAATGCTCGAATACACATTCATATTTACGTATGTTTTGGGATTATATGAGATAATACAATGTGGGTAAAAGCGATTTGTAGTAAGAAAGCATAGATTAAATAATAAAGATATAAAACTTTTATTGCTACACATTGTTAAAAAAAATAAAAAATCCTACTGATTTTATAGAGACCGATCAATCATTAAAATTAGTTACGATTAGTTGTTACATGTTTTTAATTAATTTTTTTTTAATAGATTGCATTATATTATAATTTATTAATATTATAGTTAATTAATATTTATTAAGTAGATAATCGTATTCAATCATATTCAACTCAGACAAGCTCAGAATTATTGACGTACTCAACAAAAATTATCAACGTACTCAACTCAGCAAATTGTGTAGACTCCATTGTAAATCAGATAACCCCTAAAATCTGATTACGCCATATTGTGTAAGGCAAATTTTTGAATGTATCAGATTAGAATGCATCAATAATATGTATATAAATTTATATGTCAAATGAAGTGATTCAAAATAAGTTCGATAGTGAAAAAGGTGGGTTAGACGCATTATCGATATAGATAGAGATCTAAATTCTAAAATTGATTGACTAATATATGGTTTTGATATTGAATAGTAGAAGTTATATTGATAGCTATAACGGATTGTATAAGAAAGATGGAGATTATCCAAGACTTATGTACGTGATTCCTTCGCGTTTTTAATTACTCATTTCTGTAGTACGTTGCACGAAATGAATTTCACTATGTTATAGTAAAATATTTATACAAACTTTTTTATAATTTTATAATTTTATTCACCATCAATGTATTCTAATATAAACATATGCAGATATATGGAATAAATTATTTTTAGTGCATATCAGCCTAATTACTATTTGGACGATTAAACTGTTACATAAAGTTTTGCGGAACTGATGTTTAAAAGCAATAATGAAGCACTTGTCAAAATAAGAGTTTTTTTAAAATCTGGAAAATAAGAATAAATAAAACAATTATTCTAATTCGTAGAAGGAAATTACCTTGGTGTTTTTGATTGTGAAAAACGCGAACTAGCGACTTGAATCATACTCTTGTTAAATCAGACATCATGAATGAATAAAAATCTCGTACAATCAACCCTCCGTATAATAATCCTCTTATAATAATGTCATATTTTACAAAAAAAAAAAAACCCCTCTATATAGTAAACCTTTATATGCACTTTTTTTTAAAAAAATTATCGGTATTATACGTCAAACTATGATTATATAAGAGATGATTGTATTAACATTTCAAAAAAAAAACCAAAAAGAACATTTAATAAGTTAATAAAAAATTAAACAAAATAAACACATATTTGATATAATTTAATTTAAAAATAAATTTGAGAAATTACTCGTTATTGCTAATGCACTGAAATTTTTTTCGTATCATACAACTTGCTAGTATATTTATCTTGTGAATGTATTTGTTCAGTTTGTTCTGGTTTAACCTTATCTGCTTCCAACATTTGTTTTTTGATTTCATTCTCATTTTCCTGATCCATTTCATCCAACCAATGAGTGATTATTTCATTAATTTCTGTTGCACTAGGTCGTTTATCATTATCTTTATCCATACATTTCATAGCTAATTTAATATAACAATCAGGTCCTAAACATTTAGGTCTTAATCCATAGGCTATTCTTGATGCAAGGCAATCATCAAATAGAATTCCATCAAATGCTCTTTGTCCAGTCGAAATTTCTGTCATGATAACTCCAAGACTGTAAATATCTGACATTTGAGTGTACGGTTGACCCATAAAAATCTCAGGTGCTATATATGGCAGAATTCCACAAATTTTTCCTTCCTTTACTTTTCTAGAAAGTCCAAGATCTGTGATATATGCGTTATTCAAATCATATTGCAAAATGTTTCCACTGTGTAGATCTCTGTGAACGAGTTCTTGCGAATGAATCGATTCGAGATCCAAAACCATACATTGCAAGAGATTCAACTTATCTTTCCATTCTAATTGTGTTACTTGTACAAGATTTTGTCGTAATGAACCTTTTCCCGCATAATTCAAAACAATAATATAATCACCAGAATTATTTCTCGATACTCCAAAACATTCCAAGAACGAAGGATTCTTGTAACCAATTTCACAGTAATTTTTTAATTCCTGGATAAATTCTTCCACATTTTCGTTTGAATCACGAATCACTTTAAGTGCAACATTCTCTATTTTATTATTAATTCTATCATTCCAACGTGCGTAATATACAGTTGCAAATCCTCCTTTTCCCTCTTCATTGATATCTCTGAATTCATTATAATCGATCCAAGATAATTTAAATCTTTCATCATCTAATATGCTCTTAAGTTCAGGATTAATATGATCTGGTGATTTATTAGGTTTCAAAAGACTTATATATTTTGCAAACCAATGATTTGCACTTTGAATATCTTTCTTTGTACCGATACCATTTCGATAATATCGAGCAATATTAAGCATTGCTACTTTATAATCCATATTTGCAGCTTTTTTATAGTATTCAAATGCTTTATTAAAGTCTTGATCAACTCCGACTGACATCACATATTCCGTTAGCATTGTCCAAAGCCGACCTTTTACAATATTGAAATGATTTCTGATAATTTATTTCTACTCCGATTCCATAATTATAACAAATGCCAACAGCTTGCATCGCATCCGAATTTCCTAATTCAGCTGCTTTCATATAATATTCAAAAGCTTTTTTTTCATCTTTCTTAACACCAATACCGTATTCATAATTGTTACCGAGTTCATGAAGTTGTTCAGAATCCATTTTTCAAGAAGTAAAAAAAAATCATGCTCTAAATTAAAAATATATAATCGTCCGGAGCGTAGCGGAGGATATTTAATGTTTAATCAAAGTGATACAAAAGTTACATCAATTTAGGTACGTTTTAGATTAATTCATTAGTTGAATTATGTTATCGCATCAAAAGAGTAAATTCAAGATTTTTACTTGCATGCATGTTGTGGTGTGAAACAAAAACCGATAATCGTAGTCCATTCGTTAACTAAAAATAACTTAGAGTAAAAAATTTATACGTATCATAGGAAATAAGCTTATTGAAGTTTATTAATAAATAGAAGGATTGCCATAAAAAAGGCTACAACATATTTTTGCTACAATAGTGAACAGTAATTGCAAAGGTGGCGCTTCATAAATGTAATATCACTAACGTACTATTTTATTTACAGAAGGTCGCTTAAAATCTTAAATACCTATTTTAATGTCCGAATTTTATTAGATAATTTGTTTAGTATTGGTACATATAACCAGAGAATTTCATTATTTAAAACATAGGACTTTTTTTTTTGCACATGTATTCATTCGCATTAACTTTTGTAATTCCATTAAGGTGAAATGAAAAAGTATCTAATAAAAATATTGTTTAAAAATTCTTGCATAAATGATTCAGAAGTTTGATGCTTTCTACCAGCTAAAATATTACGACAAAGATACTTGAATGAAAACCCAAATTCAGAAAAGGCAAATGCGGTAAACCTATATAAAATAATATCGATTGATAGTCAATTTACTACAAGGAAAATCGTACATGCGTAGAAAAGCTATTCATCTTTTAATTCTCTTATTCCATTATCAGCAATGTGTGTATATCCGATGTCAAGATATTTTAATTTCCTATTGGTAAATATAGACTTACGGATTGTAGATAATGGCGCATTCTTGATAGTGTTTATTTAAAAATTTTGTTTGGATATTCATATGGCATTATATCGTCTAGGTAAACGATAGCAACAACATCTGTATTTAAAGTTTGATCCAGATACGTATAATTCAATTAAATTCTCCAAATCCAAATATGCATAAAAGGTTATTAATTGTTGAAATTTTGATAATAATCATTTAAACTTCATAGCATTAAATACATTTTAAGACTCATTCCAACGTCATTTAATTCGTACTGATAAGGTAAGACTGAGATAAGATAAGTCACTCAATAACTCGATGAAAAAATGAAATTCATTATTTAAAAATATCCGAAAATACATTAGATACGTTTATAAATCAGCCATGTCCATTTTACCATGGCATTTCGATAAAGAATATGTAATATGTTGAAGTCATACTTTCAAAAAGAAAAAAATAAAATATAAAATATAAAAAAAATATAAAAATAAAAAGTAAAATAAAATAAATAAAAATAAAAAATAAAAATAACTAAAAACCTACTAAATTCACCAAAAAAGTCTTGTAACATACTTCTCAATTTTTCCTTGCCATTCAGAAAATTATTTAAAGACCTCAAAAGACGATATGTATTACTAAATATAATCAAGTTAAATATATATATATATATATTCCTTTGAACATCCATTTTAACCCAATGTCAATGGTTTTTATTGCAATAAACTCAACTATGTTTTAAATTGATATAAGCTCAACTATGTTTTAAATCGACGTATAATTTTCATTACCATCTTGGTCATATAGTTCTGTAATGCTTTAATAAACAGAAAAGATGATTTGAACAGAAAAGTATAAATTATTACTCCATGTGAAATCAGAATTCTTGTTCTAAATCATCTTTTTCTAATCTCATAAACAATAATAATCACAAACTGATAACAGGCCAATAAGTACGTACGTAGTTGATTGACGCTTCAATAATCTGATAAATATTATTGAATTTTTGTCGTATATACTTTCTCAAACTTTTCATTTACAATACTTCATCAATGAAATTAAGTAAAAGTAAATCTGTAAATTTTGCTAATTTTTGCAAAATTTTTTAGAATTTGAAGTTTTGTATTAGATTTGAAGTTTTGCACAGATTTTTATTTGATTTATTATTTAATTTTTTGCAAATCTGCACAGAACTGCATTAAAAACAAAATTTTCAGATGTTTCAATGATTACAACTAACTATGTTATCCAATTATCATTGTATCGTTTTTTTATCTTAATACAGTACTTATTGTTAATAATCTGTCCTGCTTTCCAAATTTAATTGAAGACCTTAAGTACATCATGTAACAGTTTCGAATCATGTGGTTCGCATAATCATGCTCTCGAAAGTTGTGATAAACTTGAATAGGTCTCCTTTATAATCAAAATGAAAACAATTTAAATCTCATTTGTAAGCGTAACCCTTTAAATAAGTTACTATTTTTAATACAACCGGCCAGTAAGTAAAATTTAACGTGGAAACTATATACTGTATGTATCTAGTGACAAAATTTTTGCTCAATCTCAATTCGCGTGATGTGCTGATTAATGTTAATACTTCATAATTGTGCGCCTCATAGGAGGACATTCGTCTGATTGGCTGATGTAAATCAACTGTCTGGGTAACTTATTTATACACTTTAAAGCACTTTTTGGGAACACAACGTTTCACTAATAAGCCATTTTTCGCTTCGATAGAATGTCTACATTCACTATGCAAAATAATTAGAATCCCCACGAACTTTACTTAGAAGGCAAAATATGCCTACCGCTTATCAAATTATACAAAGTTAAGATAGCCAGAAACGTTTTCGTCTAAAAATGGTTTATTCGTTAGATTCAAATAAGCTTTTATTTCTAACTGTTTAATTTGAATAGGTACAGGCTCTTTAGCAAAGAAGATCCGGGTTTAATATTTAAAATTGACCGGTTCTTGTAATGTGTTTGAGTTAGTCAACCGTAAACTAATGGTTAAAGTTTTAATTTATATCTTATATGGTAGATTCTTTAATAGCTTGGGTTTATTAGTAATAAATACCATATCAGATATTTATCCACTTTACGCGTATCTATAATAAATTTTTTTCGCGTATATTTAGTAGTTTGTAAGCTTCATTACACGAATTTTTTAATACTGTATTAATTAAAATTATGTATTTGATTGGTTAATTATCACGGGCAGATATACAAAAATTAACCAATCATATGAATGTCTTCCTATGACTGCACTTAGTATTTCACTACATTTCTGGCATCTCTGCATGTTTAATACGTTCCTGAAAACTTTTGGATTAATTTTGAACCAAAGTTTCAATTTGACGCAGTTGACTACAGTATTCTCTATAGTTTAGGCTTGACTCTATTGTTCTTTACACAATCCAGACTATGATTTGTGCTGCGAAGAGAAAACTTAGAAAACCTGAAAGTGAATTTTAAATTTCAATTGTAGCTTCCAGAAGAATTATCTAATCTATCTCCTTACATATACTATATTCAGGGTTGGCCAATGGACCAAAATGTGGCTTAGCAGATACCAATGGACTATGTCCATTGGTCCAATGGACAATGTCCATTGACATCTTTTTTGGAGACCATCATAGTCCATTGCCAACCCTGACTATATTATTGTATTATTAAAATTACCTAAATATCGGTCATTGATACTGATACTAGTGATTGGCGTCGTAATCATGTGATGCTAATTGTCACATTATACAATATATATTTTACCACGTGACAATTAGCATCACATGATTACGACGCCAGTCACTAGGTTTCGACTTTCGTCATCAAGCAAAAAAGGTTTCGTCTAACAACTATTCAATAAAAATTTTATTCGGACTTGGAAATATTTCTTTGCCGAATTTTTCTGAATTTTACGGAAATTTGCCTTAATTTGGCTTTGATTCTGGAGGAGTAGCAAGTTCACATGATTGATTGTGCCTTATGTCCAATAAAAAAAACATGGCATATCAACATTGATCCGGTGATACAGATGATCCGGTCAAAATTCACCCGGATATCGACCGATTTGGAGTACGTACATCTGAATATTTGTGTCACTACTAATTTCTTATATATGCGTGGGAAAAAAAACTTTCACAAAATCAAAATTTCAAATTCATCGAAATTAAAGATGTCGGGAAAAACGTTGAGTGAAAAAGAAAAAGCTCTTGCGGGACTTCCATACTTAGCTTATACTGAAGAACTTGTAAATGATCGACTTAAAACTAGAGAAATGCTTTATGAATTTAATAATTCTAAACCAGTTCGTCGTGATACTGTTGAATATCGTGAGGGCAGGGAAAAAATGATTCGTCAACTATTTGGTAGTGCTGGTAAAGATGTTGAAATCGAACCGCCATTCTATTGTGATTATGTATGTAAGTTTTGCCAGTATTTAATTATCCATCAAATAGACAAATAGATTAACCGATATTAATTCTTTACATGTAGGGATATAATATTCATGTTGGAGATAATTTTTATTGTAATTTTAACTGTACAATATTGGATTGTAATAAAGTTGAAATTGGAGATCGTGTTATGTTTGGACCAAATGTTTCACTTTATCCTGCAACTCATCCTATACAACCTGAAGAAAGATCAAAAGGCCCTGAATCTGCTCTTCCCATAAAGGTATTAAAAGTTATTCTGACATTTTTTTTAAAAAATAACATTTTATTTTATTTTATATTAGATTGGAAATGATGTATGGATTGGCGGTGGAGCCATTATTTGTCCTGGAATTACCATTGGGGATGGGGTATGTGTTAATATTTTCCTTTCGATGGCGTAAAATTTACTAATTTCTTTAATTTATATGGGATTAGGTAACTGTTGGTGCAGGATCTGTGGTATGATATTTAGAATGCGAATTGAAACAAATTATCCTTTTTTAATGAAATTAATAAGATTTAATCCTTTTATAGGTTACTAAAAATGTTCCATCATATGTAGTTGTCGCTGGTAATCCTGCTAAAATTATTAAGTATTTAGAAAAGAAAGGGGAAGATTAATTCAAAATTTCGGTTATATTTATACAAAAGATGATTTATGATTCGTATAATTCCCGTCTATATTAAGTAAAATCTAGAAATAATTTAAATAAAATTTTATTTGACCAAAAAAGTTAATCGCAAAGCTCTCCTAGTCAGTTATATTTTATTTGCAAAAAAAATCAACATATACAACCGCGCTAAATGAGGCATATACTTGCCGTCGAAATTCATGAATTTCGGCAATTTTTGATACGTAAATTATCCGTAATCCATAAATAGGATACCTGTTGGTAATTATAAATGAAGTCAAGAAAAATGAAAATACAAAAATTCCAAGTCCAAAGTCAGAAAAATATCAAAATATCAGTAATAAAGAGGTATTCAGATAGTAGCTTCAACAATATCAATGGTTTATAAAAAAAACAATTCATACGTAATAATGTAATTACGGTACATCTTTAGCATTTTTTTAAATACCGTATATTGTTTAAAATATTTTCTCCCTCAGAAGACTTCATATTTATATACATGTTTTTGAATAATAATTTTACATTTTGTATTATTTTACTGACGATAGTTAGACACCGATTAGTGAATAATAAATAAAGTTAAAATTTAAAATATTTATTATGATATTATGAACACAATGAATATGATTAGTGTTTTCACAAAATCATAATTGGAACATATTCACCCGGAATTAAATAAATTCTTTTGATTTTGCATTTTCAGAAAAAAAAGGGTTTAATGTTAATTTGAAGTAGTTATATATATATTTAAATAATATATGAAAACATGATTAAATGAAATAATAGTTTATATTACTATAATACGATACATGGAATAAAAAATTCAATGAATTCAAAGAAATTATAAGTCGAAGGTTCTATAATGTAATACGAGTAAAACTTCAATGAAGTGATTCAACAATTCAACAATAAAATTATATGGTAAAAATTCGATGAAATATAAAATGGTAAATAAATTGGCCAATAAATTATTTATTAACTAGAAATTGTACATGCGGGCGGCTTCGCCGCCCATTTCAACTACCGTATTTTCGCGTAATAACGCTCGCCTGCGCGTTATTTTGAGTATATGCGCGTTACTTCGAGTACGTGCATGAGCGTTATTTTGAGACAATTCTTGTATAAAAGTAAACAAACAAAAATACCAGATTTAAACCTTCCTTCGAGCTTTAACAAAAGTTGTTCTGAAAAACAAATTTTGTTGAAGTTCGAAGGTTTACTTAGTACTAATCCAGTTTTAAATCTTATTGCAAATAAACATCTCTTACTATGGGTGCGCGCTATTTTGGGACGCGCATGAACGTTATTTTGAATCTATATATATTATTTTTAGGGGCACGATTTTCGAAATAACACTCATGAGTGTTATTGCGCGAAAATATGGTAACTAATAATTAGACATAGCAGATGGTATAATGACATTGTCAATTATTGATTTTAAAAAGATGTTAAATTTAGAAAACAAAATAACTTAGCACTCAGCACACATGATAGTTTAAAAAATTCTAGCTTTCTTCCTGTGACGAAGGCGAATTTTTTTGAAAATCATTCGTCACTTTAAAAAATTCTATTACTGAACTTGCTTTGGGCAATCAAAGTATGTGTTAGGTTAGTTTGCATCGGAATTATCGTGACTCCAACTCCTATCACAAGCTACAGTAAACTTGTTATTCCAGCGACATTAGTTTGGAGTTAAGGATGTGTTTATATTGAAATTATTGTAATTCCTCTCATGAGTTGCCGCAAGAAATTCTGTTACAAAACTCACTCGCCATTCCGGTAATCAAAAATGTAGTAAGTTAACTTTGTATTGAAATTATTGTAATTTCTATAAAAAGTTGCTATAAAATACCCTTTCTGTTACAAAATTCGCTATTCTAGTCAGCATGATATGCATTTAAGGTCGAGTTAGCTTGCATCAGAATTATCATGACTTCTATTATGAGCTAAAAGTAAAACTTACTTGTTATTCCGGTGGCAATAGTTTGTAGTTAAAGTTGAGTTGGTTTGTATTGGAATTATCATAATTCCTATTAAGAAATTTTGTTTCAAAATTAACTCGGCATTTCGGTAATCATAATACATGATGAGTTAGTTTATCGTTATTCTTCTTGAGTTGCTGTAAAAGATCTTGTTAAAGGATTTTACTATTTCAGAGTATGTAGTCAAGGTTGAGTTAGTTTGTATCAGAATTATCATGACTTTTACTATGAGCTACAGTAAAACTCGCTATTCCAGTAATAATAGTTTATAGTTTGTAATTAAAGTTGAGTTGGTTAGTATCGCTATTACCATTATGAGTTGCTGTAAAAAATTTTGTTACAAAATTTACTTACCACTCTGGTAATCATAATATATGATGAATTAGTTTTTATTAAAATGATCATAATTTTCATCATGAGTTACTGTAAAAGGGTTTGTTAAAGAATTTGCCATTCTAGTGAGAAATAGTATATAGTCAAGTTAATTTTGTATTAAAATTTTCATAGTTTTATCATGAATTACTGTAAAAAATTCTTTTGCTGAACTTACTTTTCTAGTAATATATGATATATGGTTCACTTTTGCATGTTATTTATACTGTTCTTTTTTTTTACATTATAAACCATCGGTGATAAATTTTTTTATATTGCTTTTAGCCTTACTTCATTTGGCCTTGTTTCAAACTTCACACCTTTTCATTTTACTGATAATCATCATGTCATATAGCAGTAAATTTGTATTATAGTCATATGAATATAATCTAAAGTTGACGAAAGTCAACAGATTAAAAATATGGCTAAACGGAAATATTAATATGGGAAACAATCTGGTTAGATCAAGTATGCAGCCATTGAGCACACAGATGTTCTAACATCATAGGAGTGAGTTTAATTATCTTATTCAGGGTCTGTTAAAGCTAGATACGTTTACATATAGATCTACATATTTTATCTATTTTTGATATCTAAAAACAAAGTATCAGAAAAAACTATTTACATAATTGAAATTTTGACCCAGAGCCCTCCTGTCCCATGAAGAGCTGATGAAGAATTCACATAGATTTTGTGGTAAAGCCAGCCTGCTTTATGTAATTAGAGAGACCACCAGCTAATGCAAATTCAACTGATGACAGTGATACCTGGTTTTATTTTTGAGAGCATCAGTTTATATATCAATGTACTGATTTATGTTGCCTATTCTTAATAATATTACATTTATATTGTGCCATTTTTTTCTACATCATTTCTCACGGCCTCGCTTCTCTCGGCCTTATTTCAAACTTCACACTTTTTCAATTTACTAATAATGATATATACTGTACGTAATATCACAGAATCAAGTCCTAACCATATTTCATCATGGTCTTTGACGATCAAAGATTATCAATTAATCGGTCCGGTAAAAAATCGGATAAAAAAAAAAAATAAGAAATGCTAAAATATGTTTTGAATGTGAAGCTTTTATTCATTATAAATTGATGTCACAACAGATTTTATATGACTAGAACGTAGCAAGTTAATAGCTATAGCTATAGCAATATCAATATTATTACCAAGTCAAACTAAAAATTTTTTTCACTTCAATTCTTCAGGCTTATAGAATCAAAATAAAGAGATTTCATTAAATATAAACAGATAGTCGAAAAAGGATCGTCACATGTTTACAGTAATTAGATGCGGAAATTCTACGGACAAAGCTTAGGGACAGGAGTCACATGATATTATAAAAATAAAAATTTTTGAAACTTTAAATCAAAATATCTTGGCAACCACTTGACAAATTTGATAATTTTTTTTTATTTGAATTCTATGAATCCATATAATTCAAATAAATTTTTTTTTTCGGATTTTGTTAGGTAATTGTGGAAATAACTTCGCTCAAAGTCAGAGAAAAATTAAAACAATAAAAGCTACGCCATTTTTTTTAAAAATTTGAGAGAAGATATCTCAACAACCACCTGACCAAACTCGATAAAATTTTCTTTATCAGAATTCTATGAATCCATAGAATACAAAGAAAAAAAAATTTTAATGAATTTGATTAAGTAGTTGGAGATATCTTCGCTCAAAGTTAGAGAAATAAAGCTACGCCAATTTTTTAAAAAATTTGAGTGAAGGTGTCTTCACAACCACCTAACCAAATTTGATGAACTTTTTTTAATTTGAATTCTATGAATTCAAAGAATTCAACAAAATTTTTTATTGAATTTTTAGTTGGTGGTTGTGGAGATAACTTCACCCAATTTTTTAAAAATTGCAGCATTTAGTTTTGATTTTTCTTGATTTTGAGAGAAGATATCTCCACAACTACCTAACTAAATTTTTTTATTTGAATTCTATGAATTCTAGAATTCATATAAAAAAATTATCGATTTGATCAGGTGGTTGTGGAGATATTTTCGCTCTAATTTTTAAAAAAATTGGCGTGGCTTCTATTTTGATAGGCGTTTTGATTTTTCTCTAACTTTGAACGAAGATATCTCCACAACTATCTGACCAAATTCGATGAAAATTTTTTTATTTGAATTATGAATTCATAGAATTCAAATAAAAAATTTTTGTTGAATTTATCAAGTGGTCACCAAGATATTTTGATTTAAAGTTTCGAAATTTTTATTTTTATAATATAACGTGACTACATAATTTCCGTTCCGAAATAGATGTCTGCGAACATAATCACGTGATCGAAAACCGAGCACAGATTATTAGCATTTTTTGAATTCTTATAAGTCAATAATAGGTCTTTTATAAACACTATCTTGTATATAATTCTTTGCTATTATTGACCGTAATTATTTGCTATTAACGCCATTATACCGTTATGTTGTATTGTTCAAAGTAATTTTTATAATTAAGATAACACAGAAATTTACTGGTTTTATGAATAGATAATCATTGATCATCAAAGTTCGTAGTGAAAGATTCTTAATTTTTTTTTTTATTTTTACTGTTCGGCCAAGGTTATTTCTTGTAGCTGGGAGGCTTGAAAAAGTTGTTGCAAACATTG